ACACTCCGTCATATGACTGGCATTACTCTGGCGCGCGCACACACACACACACACACACACACATATATATATATATATATATATATATATATATATATATTATAGAAAAACAGACCACTTTAAGGTTCCATTATAATAATTTATTTCACCAGAGCTCTTTTAAAGCACTCCGGATCATCAGATAGCACTTCCAAAAATGAGACGAAAAATGAAATGAAAATTGATGGTAGGTGTAAGTTTTTGTAATTTAACAGAGAGTGTAATAAGGAGTGGTTAGAGAGACATGGTAAAGTTTAGGGAGGGTCTAAATTAATATCTCTCTCAATCATACTTAGTATTGGGGGAGGAGGAGTGACCAGATCTTGACCTATTTAAATGTTTAGCTTAACGGAAGTGATATATTGAAATGGGAGGGGAGAAGAGAGAAAAGAAAGAGGAAAAAGGAAGAAGAGGGAGAGTGAAGTAAGGGGAAAGAGGCTGTAAATGAGGTTTAATATTAAGGAGATGGTTGGTAAGTTTTAGTAATTTATGTAAAAAATAGATTTTAATGTTTGATTGTCATTTAGATATAAAAAAACGCGAAGAAATGAATTTGATGCTTGCTAGCAGTTTAAATATTTAACTCTTTTACAAATAATTTAGGGATTTAATATAAGTTAAATACTGTATTTATTAACACATTCATTGAGAACATATTTCAAAAAAATTAAACTATAACAGTTTGTTTACCCGACCAATAGTACTCTTTTAATAGTGTAAAACACAGTTTTAGTATTGTAAAATGTCAGTTTCACTCTAATTTATGAATGTAATTTGTAAATATTTTTAGATGGGTAATCTTTCTTATTTAAATTTTAGGTTTCGAATTATGATGAAGTAATATTTGGAGGTAATATTATATATATATATATATATATATATATATATATATATGACGCATGGATTAATCAGCACGTACCCGGAAGAATTACGAATGCTACGTTCCAATCTGGTGACAAGATCAGGAACACATACGGCATCGCCATTGCTGAGCACCTTATAAACAATCCAAGTTGTGCCACAAATTTCAGTGTTGCTTCATTTTCCATCTTTAGTCATTCTTTAGTCATGCTCATTCTGTGTTACACTTAAAGGGTTTTGGAAACAATCTATGTCAGGTCCAGGCATCCCTCCCTCTGTAAACAGAGGGAATGCCTGTTAGGGCTTGACATGATTTCCATCTGATCGTTCCACCTTTATTTTATCACATGTTTTTCATGTTTTTGATATTTTATATTCCAATATTCATCCTCTCTTTGATTTCAGCTCTGTTGAGTGAGGGCGAAACCGGTCGGCTGGTCCATTTTTTTTTCCTTTTAATTATGAATGGTAAAGCTAATCTTGCGGTTTTTATTTCCATAATAAAATGTTATACAAGCAAGAAAATAATTATATATATATATATATATATATATATATATATATATATATATATATATATATATATATGAAACATTTATTCGTTCACTCGCTCATTCACTGACACTACTATCAAAATTTACCACAACACCCAATTGGAGAAGTCATAACATAATTTACTTATTAGAATGCACACTATGCCAGAAACAATATATGGGAAAATCTGAATGGCCCTTTCACTACAGAATTAATAATTATCGGAATGGGATTAAGTCTACTCCCCACAAAAGATTATTGCCTGTAAGACAACATTTCCGTCTCGAAAAAACACGATTTTAACAGACATGCAAAATTCAAAATTATTGAAAGAATAGAAATAGACAGAAAAGATAAAATTAGGAAAATATTAGAAGAAAATGAAGACAACTGGATTTTGCGCCTCAAAACGCATAAGTCCGGATGGATTCAACAACAAACTAAACAGCACAGATGGTATTAATATATAGCCCCATAAATGGTTGGAGGTGAAAGAAATCAGAGTAAAATAAAGTTTCGATGGCGTGAATTTGTTTATGTTGAACCTCAACTTGACAGGAAGTGACCCACAGACTTGATTTCATGAACGTCCTTCTGCAGCACATATGGAATTTGACATACAGACTCTAATTATGAAACTACATATGTGTGTGCGTGTGTGTGTGTAACAATTCATATTTAAATAAAACATGTATCTGTAAAAAGACTATGTGAATAAGAACAAAAGGGGCCTATTCTTTACCAACGCGTTTTATCAATGTAAATAGCAGAATTGTTTTAGCCACATGCATATATAAATAGATGTAAAATTATCGTTACGTTTCCAAATTTTGAAATTTACGAACCCCGCAAAATATTCTTCTTGACCGCGCTGAGTTCCGATAATCTGAAGTCGTCACAATATTTGTTAACAATGGATGCGAAAGTTATGTAATCTTCGCTATCCTTTTTTGTAAGGTTCAAGCATTTCCATCTTTTATCGAATAGTGAAGTATTATAGCTGAAAAGTTCCGTTAGCAGTTTTATGGATTCTTTGAACGTTAACTCGCTTGTTTTTCTGGGAAGGATATAATCTACGAATTTGGTATATTCGCCTGTGCCTAATTTTCTTAGTAATAGGCGTACTTTACGTGCGTCTGACCAATCTTTGCAGTCAAAATCATATAGATCTTCGTACCTTTGGAAGTAATTTGCAAAAGTTTTATCTTCGTCGGCTGCGTACTTGATATCTTCGATATTACTCCAAATAGCGTCATGTGAGAGAACTGATTCGTTCTCGGGTTTTTGCTCCTTATTTGTCATTGCACGTAACAATAATTCTTGCAATTCCAGATGTTTCTGTTCGTAACTTTGTTGCTGTTCAAATTGGATTTTGATAAGTTCCATAATGGTTGACTTAAAATCTTCCATATTAACATTTTTTTTTGTTTTTTTTTTGTTTTTTTGTGTAACCTGATATTCTGTAGCCTGTGCACGCAAGAAGAAAACTTCCCTTTGTTGTCACTTGTTATGCGCGACGGATAGCAAAAAAAGATATGCCCTCCGTGTAGAGAGTTGGTTTCTTCGTCGTCACTTGTTATATTGTGGCGAACGAATTTTTTTTTCTTCCACCGAATGAATTCGAATCTTCGTCGCCATTTGTTATGGTCCGGTTCCTTGTACCACGCTGATAGTCCCAAGGTAGAACCAATAAAGAAGAACGCGAACCTAGGTATGGAACAACCCAGATATATTACAAACAGGAATATATACAGAGAAGTAGAAGTGTTAGTATGAACAATCAGGTTTAGTAGAGAGAACAATGTAGTCTCGACCAGTATCATTATTCCAATGTCTTGCAGTAATTGTCTGAACGCGACTCTGTTTCGGACTGCCTCTGACTCGACTCTTGACTCGACTTGAACAACTGACTACACTTGAACTACTGACTGAGGTGCCGTATTTATTAAGTATGGAATAGTCCATTATTATGATTATGGGTAAGGTCTCATAACATTAACGAAGAAAAGAAAAGAATACTGAACTGTTACGTGATATCTGTCCTTCTTTACGACAGCGAATGTTGGACGATTTCCTCAAAGATGAAGAAGAGACTCGAGGCGAGGGAGATGTGGTTCTACAGAAGGATGCTAAGGATATCATGGACCGAGCGTGTGAGCAAAGATGAGGTCTTAGAGAGGATGAAAACAAGGAGGAGGCTTATACTTAACATCAGGAAGAGACAGCAAACGTTGGACGATTTCCTCAAAGATGAAGAAGAGACTCGAGGCGACGGAGATGTGGTTCTACAGAAGGATGCTAAGGATATCATGGACCGAGCGTGTGAGCAACGATAAGGTTACAAACAAGGGGGAGGCTTATACTTAACATCAGGAATAGGCAGCTGAAGTTCATTGGGAAACATAATGAGGAAGGAGGGCCTGGAGAATCTGATACTCACGGGTTGAATAGAGGGAAAGAGAGACAAAGGAAAGCAGCGTGCGACATACCTGACGTCTTTAAGCAAGTGGATGACAGAACATGGTCTAAGGGAGGTTGCAGAGGGAAGGAACTTGTTGAGAGCTGCAAAGGATACAGTAAGGTGTAGAGCCATGATTTAATCCAACAAAATGCTATAGATTTAGAGATTCTTGATAAGAATCCGCAATAGTAATGGTCCTGAGCTGGCATCTCGCCTTCAGTCACTTTACCACGCCCGTAAAATTGCTTCCCTGTGTCTTTTATACAAATACTTTAATGGTAATTGTTCGAATGAACTCTTCGCTGTGGTACCAAGACTTTATGAATTTAAGCGCGGTACTAGAATAGCAATATGGTTTCATCAACTGACATCTGAGATGGAAAGATATAATCGTATGTTCTATACTAGTCGTCCTTATCCCCGTACTGCTCCATGCTTTCCAGTCAACTTTGATCTTCAAAGATGCAAATGCAATATCAATCGTTATCTGCTAACCTCCTGATTACTCTTTTTCTCTTCCCGCACATTATTAATGTTTCTGATTCTAATTCTTACACTCCCAGTAACCCCCTTGCGTCTTAGTGGCTTTAATGCCTTGTTTGGGGTGAAATCGATTAAAAAACTAAGATAGAAAGTGTTATGGGGTCCACCCCTTTTTCATACAAGTGGACTCGACCAATGTGTACTTATACTGCTGCCGGTGAATACCCGAGAGTGATAGAATGAACAGTAAGAGAGATACACTGATACGGTGATACAGTGAGAGTGTGAGGTAACCGCTTTGTAGGAGTCACAGTTGCGAGCACGTAGACTCAGAAAGAAGTCATACTTCGATACTGAATTTCCCAGACTGTATATATATATTATTATTGTTACTAACCGCATTTCTGGATCTACTAACCGTATTACCAATTGTATTATTACGTCAATACATTTATTTGTATATTTCATTCCTGCGTTTGTCATTCATTTGAGACCGGATTTCATCTCGGAATCCACAACAGATAGATAGATAGATAGATAGATAGATAGATAGATAGATAGATAGATATGTGCATATTATAGCTAGCTATCTAGTTAGATAGATAGATAGATATGAACAGATTTAGATAGATATGTGCATGTTATAGATAGATAGATAGATAGATAGATAGATAGATATGCACAGATTTAGATAGATGAATCTAATCTGAATTAAAATTTCAATGACAACAGTTTCATAGAGCAGAGTTAAGAAGAACCAAAGAGTGCAATGAAAGATTATTCTTAGAGACCATTTGTCGAACATCAGAATGAAACGAACGAATATATGTAACAGCATATTGTTTTTTTTAGGTTTGTTTTGTTTTGTTTTAACAACCTCAATATGTTATTTAACTTTTAGGATAGGTTTGTATAAATAAAACATGTATTCTTTGTATGAAGTCAGTTTGTAGAATGTATTGCTGGTAATATTTTTTTTCACAAAAATTCACTGCTGATAATTTCCTTTCCTTCAAGAATTTACTGCTGGCAATTCTTCTCAAAAATTCACTGCTGCTATTTGTTGTTTTTTTTATTCACTGTTGGCAATGTCTTCTTTTTTCTAAAATGCATCGCTCGCAATTTTCCTTCCAAAAACGTACGACTAGCAATTTCTTTTTTTTTTTTTTTTTTTTTTGGGGTTTTTTTTTTTTTTTTTCTTTTAATGCATTGCTGGTTTTTTTACTATAAAAATCTATGTTTTGACCCCAGTTTAACAATTTAACCACAGCTGTGACCCTAACAGGTGCTAACACCCCAGGTCAGAGTAAGCCTGGGAATAACAGCTATTAAGAAGTAGTCCCACGCTCCTCAAAACCCTCAATCTCCCAATCAGATGTCTTGCTGCTGGATGTAGTTTATCATCATACCCTAGAACGCCTCTTTTGCAAAGGTGCAATCGGAATATTCTAAAGCCCCAGCCGATAGGGTGGCCTGTTTTTTATCAACCCTTGATTATGCTTTTCGTGTTTTTCATAGAACAATAACCTACTGTTACATTATTCTTATTAAATATTTTACTCGTTATCTTTGAAGATACAAAAGTGCTTTCTAATTAATTTTAAGAGTATTTTTCCAACATTTATTTTAACAGTTTTAATATATAAAACAGTGAACCATATTTTATTTCCACCTCTTTTAATTTTTGCCATAGATTATTAAACATTCATATTAACACGGCTTAAATGAGCATGCATGATGAAAAAAATTGTCCCAAGCTTAATAAAAACAAAGTTTTATCATCAAATTCTTTACGTTTTTATTAAGAGGAAAGACCAAATGATTTTGTGATTTTAATAATCAAAATATCCTTTATATTTTTAATCGTTTTTCAATTTTTGGTTATTTATTTTCATGCGTCAGTGGGTGGAGACAAATTAATATAGGTATTTAAGAGAGCCTTTTTGCAGTGATGAACACATTGATTTTAAAATTCTGGCAAATATCAAATAATTGTAGGATTTTAATGAAGCTTTCAGGACTTATTCACAAATGAATGAAACTTTTTTTTAGATCGCTTTCTTTTTGAGAAAGTCTTGGGATAAATATCTTTTTTGCATCTGTAATCCTGCAATTTATTTAATTTAGGTGATGTTATTAAAAACTCTATTTGTTAATCATAAATGGAAAAGCTTACTATAATTCTGCGACCCCCAGTATTTTAAAAATAATTTTGAATTGTTTCCTTTTGTGCATATATCAATGTTGTGACCCAAGTAAATGGTTAAAGAAATAACAAAACACGTGTTACAGATATATCATTTATTAAACAGTAAGTACAACAGAAGAGTATTACATGACTAGTGAGTGTGTGTCGGTCGACCCAGCGTTCAATCTATTCGACTGTTATACCAGCCGCCCCACGAAGTATGATGCGGCACAAAGCTGAGTTTAATGTGGGGCAATCCGAGCAGGTAGGTTCGGTCAAAATTCCCCATGGACCCTGTATAAAACTGGGTCGGGTAGCTGTTTCCCCAAGACGAGCCTCTGCCCTTCGACATAGCCTCGTCTGGGGATCTTCTCTGCCCAGAGGCGGAGAGTTTGACAAGCACAGCTGGAACAGATCTATTCGACTGTTATATTTAACAGCCCCGCCCACGATGGATGTATGTGACAGAAGGCTGAGTTTACCGTGGGTTCTCCGAGCCCGTAGGCTCGGCCAAAGTTATTCCTTTTGAACCCGCCTAAACGGGTTCAGGGTCTGTCTAACTCCCCGGGAGAAACTTTGCCCTTCGGAAAACCCTCGTCCGGGTTCCTCTCTGCTCGAGGCATAGAGTTCGACAGATGAACAATCTATTCGACTGTTATATTTAACAGTCTCCCCACAAGGAATGTATGTGGCACAAGGCCGGGTTTAACGTTGGTTTCTCCGAGCCCGTAGGCTCGGCCAAAAATATTCCCTTTAAAACCGCCTAGACGGGTTCAGGGACTGTCTACCTCCCCAGACGAAACTTTGCCTTGCGGCAAAGCTTCGTCCGAGTTCCTCTCTGCCGATGCAAAGAGATGGACAGTTGAACAATCTATGCGACTGTTCCCCCAAGGCCTTCTCTCCTACTAATCTTTTAGTAGGCGAAAGACTCCAACATAGACTCTTTAGAGGGAAGACACCACAAGAATCAACGTGCCAATGTTTTGTAAGTCAAGACATCCACAAACAATACCAGGTAATGGAAGCGTTAATTATATAAAGTTTGAAGCCAAAGCACCAACATTCAATGACATATTAGTTTATTTAGAACATTTTCCTCAATTTCACAGAATAATAGGCAAGTAAAAATTATATAAAAAGGCTCTCAAGTAATTTTTAAGAATATGTCAGCTGTTTCAAAAAAATTCACCAAACATCAGATTGTCAAGAGATCTATCAACACCTCATAAAAACATTCAGCTCCACGTTAAAAATTATTTTTTGCGATATTTGAAACTAAAGTCATATCTGTTTCAAATGAAATTAATTAAAATTTAAATCAGCCAATATTCCTTAAATAATGTTTCAGAAAATTATATATTATTTTTTGAAAGACTTTTTTATTAAAGAGTATTACGTTGTGGCGAGAGAATTTTAAAAAATGGCTAAAATCAGATATAATTAACCATGAAAAACAAAGTATTTTGATTATTAGAAATATTAAATTTACTCTATTAGCTTGTTATAAAAACTAAAATAAAAGTATCATTGGAGATATTTTTCAATTTTAAAAGTTTATGTTAAAACTCATTGCTTTTCGAAATATCTTCTTTCGATTATACATAAATTAAAATGGGGTTAAAATTAATTTGGTTCTAATTAAGATTCATTAATCGAAAATATCTAAGATTTTACAAGTACAAGAAGAGAGAACTTTACATGTACCAGATAATAGAGAATTTACATTGAAATAAATAGAGTACCATTTTTAAAAAATATATCACTCATGATGAAGTCACCGAGGATGAGTTAGGTTAAACTGGAAAAGTCAAATGATTCTTTATATTAGCGTACCTAGACGTCATGAAAAGAAACTAACAATAGACATTACTTGATTGATTGGCCAATCGAAGGCCGGCTAATCTCAGGTTTTTTTGGAGGAAGATAAAATCATTGCGTCAGAACTAGGTTTTGTGCAGCAGAGATTAAAGATCTAACGGAATATTTACTCCTCATCCCCGGCCGATTGCAGCAAGTTAGGGTAGGGTCTTCATCGCATCCATTTGGCTGGAGACAGTAAATTTTGGTTGTACTTCACAATTTCAAAGCCGCTCATCTATTATTTTTTGTAGAAATATAAGGGAAAAAAGTTGGAAAAAATGGAAAAAAGTTATCATCCTTTAAAAATTTAGTGGGATAAATTCATGTTTGCGGTGATGCTGCTACGCATGCGCACGAGGGAAAGTATTTATTTGTATTAAACCTATAGACATTGTTTAAGCAAATGCTTTGTTTTTTTTTAAATAGATAATAATTGTCCTTCTTAATCAATTTCATAATATGTTGACAATGTTAACATTAAGGTACGTTTCGTGAGCAGATATGATCTTTCGGGAAAGTTCGTCGAAGAACAGTAATTCGCACTTTGCTAACCGGACGCTTCTTTGTGCCTGAATGGTTAACAGCACATCAGATCAAATGGTTGTTCCCGTTCGGGTTACAAGTTCGATCCCTCTTGGAGAAGAACATATTTCCTACGAAGTTTTTCGAACATTCAGGTCGGTAAATGTAATTAATACTGTTTATTTAAAAAAAAAAAAAAAAAAAAAAACCCGAACGTTGTATCTATAAAATATAACTTATAAACAGAAAATATATAAAATATTGCCGGACTTAATCCATTTCATAATATTATATATATATATATATATATATATATATATATATATATATATATGTAACGATATATAATTTTATATCTCAACAAACAATATTTATAAAAAATAGTATGACAAAATGGAAAAAAATGTTATGTGAAGCTTTTCATCCGTTAGGATTTCATCGGACTGAGCTCTGTTGATGTTATCCCGTCTAGTCTGTAAAAAATTTGGAACTACCAGCGTCTCTCGTTTCGTGCGCATGTATAGACGTGACAACTTCAACAAAGACTAGTCTGAAATCCTAACGGATGAAACGCGTCACAAAACATTTTTCAATTTTTCATACTATATATATATATATCACATGAATCATTCATATAAAAAGTAGATTAGTAAAGTTAATGATATAAATGGCGAAAAACATCTTCGCAAACAAATTTACTAAAGTTACATTAACCCATGAAACCCTCGTTCGCAAACAAATTTATTAAAAACAAGGATCATAACATTAATCGAGGGATTTAAATACAACTGGAATTATTGATCTGCTCATGTGCCACAATTTTGAGATTTCGATTGCAAGGCCCTTGTATTTTGATAGCTTATGAAGATATTCAAATATACATGGGTTGGACAAAATAATTGGAACAGTTGCAAACTCCTATATTTCAAAGACCTATTATATTAAGAAATTTAACTAAAAATTCGTAATTGCAGGTTATATCTATTGTAAATACGTTTATTTATCTAATTTACTGTCTTTGTCTTATTTATTTTTGGAATTTAGTAAAATTTAAGCTAAATGCGTGACCTCTCCGAGTTCGAAAAAGAGCAAATTGTTGGAGCTCGCATGGCAGGAGCCTCGATCACTAAG